ATTGCAGTAGTACCAGGATGGCGTTTTTGGCGCTCGTACTACTTTTTAGTCCTTCTGCTTTTCGTTGCTCCTACTTCTTGTATGGGTGGTGCTCACTAGCCTCTATTTTCTCTCTCCTCCACTATCAGGCTTGATTGTTCTGCTCATGTCGCGATCGCTATCATTGCAGTGTAATGGCTCCATCGTTAGTAGCATTTTAAGCTTCTTGCTATAGAGTCGGTTCGATCACACCTAAACTCTCCGATGGTTGGCTTTGACTTTTCACTCGGTTCTTTGTATTACCGTCTGTGAGGAGTACAAGCGAACCTGAATGGGATCCGGCTGTTGTTCGGATCTCTGTTAAGTTCATTCACTCTGGTCTCGGAGTGCTCGAGTGTTCTTCTTCACTAATCCTATTACGTTCAGTCTTTAGTCGTATCTGCTCTGTACTACCCCATAATACAGTCGCTGTTCTTGTCTTTGGAGAGGAGAGGGAGTTGATGACAAGTGTGCTCAACTACTATATAATACCAAGTAAACCGAAGGACTCGAAAGCTTATGCAGCCTATTGTTGTTGCCGAGCACTGTTTTGAAGGCTCTGTTGCTGTCACTCGATGATACGCGGCCTCCCTTCTCCGTTTGTGTGGAGAGGTCATGCCGTGCTGGTAAGGCCAGCAGCTTCAGCGGCCATGGACCGTTCTTGTGATTCTTTATTACCAGCGATAATTCCGTCCACGGATGTATCGGAGACTCTTCGAGATTCCCAGAAGGATGATTTCGTCCCTCTCATTTGTCGTCCGTCATTGGCTCATTTTGTAGCCATTAGTTGATCGCTGGACCACTCTATCTTTGGCACCCCATCGGGACTGCCATTGTGCCCGTACTCACTTCTCTCGCGCCGGCGGCGTGAGTAGGTCGCGGATCATGCAGGTTGGGCGAGTTGGTCCCGGTGGCATTGTGCTCCGGTCGACTCAAGCTATTGTAATCCTGCTGCTGTCCTTACGACAAATAAACTCTTTACAACATCCAAAAACAAATCTACCTTTATTTAAACTGATTCCGAGTACTTCTGTTTCTAGTCCTTTCCTATTGTGTTACACTAGTGGGACATCGGGTATCACATCATCGAGAACACCACGAGAGGAGATTCTGGTTAGCGGGTTGGCGAAGTGACTACTTCTCCAAGGTCCAGTTTGTGTGCTGACATACTCAGCAAGGCCCGTTGCGCCCCCTATAGTTATGTGTCACCAGTGGTGGCTCACCACGTATCGGGGTATTGGCTGCTGTATACGTGCTCATAACGAGAAGAGCTGATTAATCGGACACCATCAGGGATGTTCAATTGGATTATACTGGTTGACTGTCGGCAGGCATTTCACGACTCCGATCGCTTAGGGAGCTAATCAGAAACTCTGGACCAGAAGGATCGTAGAATCTTGAAAATCGTGTTGATTTTTGTTGATCGAGATTTGTAAATGACTGCTGTCCCAGCTAAGGGAGAACTGTTTGTCTACAACGAGGAAGATAACCTCACACTGTTCGAGTTCGATCGGCCGGTCGAAGGGGAAGCTCCAACCACAGGGCTCCTGTTCATGGCGGGCCTCACTGATGGCTTTTTAAGACCCCACTATCCAGCTATGCTAGCGAGGAGAGGCCTCAGAGTATTCCAGGTAACCGTTTGCTTAGGTCTCTCGTCGAGTTCTCATCACAGGTGTTGATGCATTCGTCATACAGTGGGTACGGTTACTCCTCCCTAGACTCGGACGTGGAGGACATGACTCGTGCCTTAGCCTTCCTCAAACAGCATCGTAGGCTTACTCGGTCTCATCCTATTGGACGACAGTATAATCTAGCTGTTATCAGGTGGAATAGACCACGTGTTTCTACTAGGGCACAGTACAGGATGCCAAGACGTAGTGTACTTCATGAAGTCGCTCTCGTCAGAGGTCAACGGATCAGCACGGCTATGGGAGCCGATTCTGTCTCTCCTCAGAACCACAGCCTACCACAAATCCGGGGATGTATCCTACAAGGTGCGGTATCGGACCGTGATGCAGTTGACTTTGCCGTGAAAGAATCCGAGGAGGAGCAAGAGAGCCTCCTCAGAATGCGCACCCTGGCGATGGTAGGCCGCATCAGTGATACTTCGCTGCTCGCAACTTGAGCCCTCAGTCACTCCTCCAGAAGGAGCCTGGTCAGCTCATGCCTCCTGAGGCCTCGATGTTCACCTCCGGCCACCCGATCAATGCATCACGATTCGCATCCCTGTTCTGTCGAAAGGGTGGCCCAGATGATATGTTCAGTCGTGACTTGAGCGACGATGAGCTCGAGGACGCCGTGGGTCATATGGCCGAGGGTCCTCCTGTCATGTTGCTCCAAGGCTTGGATGACGAGTACGCCTCATGACTGATTCAGCATCACAAGAGGGGCTCCTTGTGTTTAGGTACGTTGACCATTCCCTTCCGAGCGTCAACAGTCGCCTAGCGGTTGCGATGAATGCGACGTTACTGGAGATTGACGGGAATCACTCACTGGACATATGTGCTCCAGGAGAACTAGATCGGTTGCTGAACGCGATTGCAGGCTTCGTTACGCAAGCAGCTGCGCGTTGATCCGTGAGTTCGCAGTGAGAAGATATGCAAATGGCTCCGCTGATTTGATAATCTTATTTTCTTTCATATTCTCAATTGTGGTATTGTCAGTGAAACCTAGTAATGTGGACAGCTTTCGGTCATCCCGGAACAGGCTGTGGTGGGCGTTGGTGATTCGTCCCGCTTCAGTGAGAATTCTGCTATTTTTTTGTAGTTCTCGGCAAAATGACGATAAGCTGCTAGAGTTAACCTCTACACATCAACTTGTGTGAACTTCCAACGGTTTGGCAACTTCACCTTCTCTGAAGGTTACTCAGTCAACGCAACATAATCTCTCCCGAAAAATTAACACGCGTTGCGGATGGTAAACTCAAGCGGTGAAACGAAATGTTCAATTGTAATCAAGGAACTACGCCGAATTCAAGAGATCCCAAAAATCATCATCCAAGGGCTCCTTACTAGGTGTCTTCTTGACATCGGTCTCCTGCTCCCTACCGCTTACGGGCACATGTGTAGCAGGCTGTGTGGTGGTGGTAGATAGATGTTGAGGCACCTGCTGTTCTCCCGCGACAGCCGAAGATACCGCCCGTGGGCTATCCTGGTCGAGCCCCCAACCGGCGTCAGGACTTACAATACCCGACTCCACAGAAGCATTGGCAGGGTGATCCCACAGGGAATCTGAAGCGCTCTGCACAGCCGTACCGGAAGTAGCAGCAAAAGGCCCAATATGTGCCGGACTCTGAACATGGTCGTCCCAACCATCCATCGCCAAACTATCAACTTCAGTGTCATCCCAGAGATTGCTCGGCTCTGCCACTTTAACAGGAGATCCCAACTCTTGATGCTCACTCAGTGGAACAGGATTGGCACTTCCCTGCGGGGAAGGAGCAACGCTACCCTCGTTCAACGGGGCTTGTTCTTCATCGGGAGCAATCACTGTATCATTAGATTCCACGACCTTTTCTTGAGGAACAAAGACCGCTCCAGCTCGCTGCTCTTGCTGATTCGCATGAGGCTCAGCATCTTCCCATGCACCCCAAAAATCATCCACATCAGCGCCATCATGACTGTCATCCCAAGGCGTTGCACCACCTTGATCAGCACCTCCGCTACCGCCCTCGAGATCTAGAGACCCCTTGGGCATGAGCGCCGCCGTCTGCTCATGCTTGGGGGAATCCCAAGGAGTTGGAGAAGATCCAGGGGTACTTTGCGTCACCACTGGGCCTTCGTCCAGAGCCACGATCGAGTGGTTGGCGGGGATGCTCGACTCGTGTAGATGCACTCTGTCTTCGTCGACCGACTCAGAGCCAACCGTGTCTCCTTCTACAAGTGAATCCTGATGAAGCTCGACCGCAGCGACAGCCGCATCGTGGCCGTCGGCCGCGGTAACAACATCATCGTGACTACCAGATGCGGTAACAACATCATCGTGGCCACCAGGTGCGGTAACAACATCATCGTGGCCATCAGACGCGGTAACAACATCATCGTGGCCACCAGGCGCGGTAACAACATCATCGTGACTGCCAGCCGCGGCAACAACACCATCGTGGCTGCCAGGCGCGGTAACAACATCATCGTGGCCGTCACTTGCCACAAAAACTGTGTTGTCATTGTCCACGTTAACGCCGCCGCCACCGTCACCGTCAATATCAACATCATCGTGACCATCTTCTGCAACAAGGGCCGCGTGATCATCATCCACGGGAACTCCACCGGCAAGAACAACCTCGTCATGTCCCGGTGATACGATTGTTGACCCTACTGGGACGCCGCTCATCGAGGCATGTTCTGTCGGAGTGGCAGCAGAGGATGCACGTGGTTGCAGGTCTTCAACTCCGTGCGAAGCCACTTCATCCTCAGGCATATCCTCGACATCAACCATCTCCTCCTCGGGCACTGCTGCAACGATTTCCGGTGTCTTGCTGGGGGCTTCTCGAGCCCAAAGGTCAGCAGCTCCTCCAGGACGACCCTCTTCAGGAGACGCTATACCATCTTCCTCATCCTGCTGCAACCGTGACGAACCTGAGCTCACATCCGCAGTGCTCTCCGGTTGGCGAGTAGCTGCCGTTATGTCCTCCCCAATGAGCCAATCGTCCGTATCTCGAGATTGATGGCGAACATCTTCTGTTGGGGTATGACCAACATCAGTATCGCTCTGGGTCGCTTCCGGGTGGCTGTCCCGCGTCCGTTCAGACAGGGGTTCCTCTTGAAGCCTCTCAGGCTCCAACTCAGACTCTCCTCCCGACAACGAGGATCCAATGAAGTCCACGCCCTCAGAGCCAGTAGAGGCAATCGCCAACGCGTGCTCTTGCCGGGCCCCACCAGTGCCACCATCGACGCCTTCCATGTCTCTGGTCGCCTCTGGTTGACTTGATGCTGCCGCTACTTCAGTCGTTGTTGCTATCGATCCTTGCCGCTCAGTTGACCAAGCATCTCCATGGCAGCTGCTGGCCGATGAGGATGATGGCGGCACCTGACTGCCGTCCCCGGCATTAGCAGCGAAGTTATCCCATCGATCAGACGAGGCTTCATCCACTCTGTTGGGCGGGGGAACTTCTCCTATAGTAGATTCGGGATGGCCACCAATCACGCTCGGGGCAACTTGGGTGCTCCAACCATCAGTTTCACTACGAAGGATATCTGGTCTGACTAGGGCTAGGGTGGGAATGCTGGGCAGATCTTCCTGATTGGGGACATCAGCCTTGACAGTGTGCTCGAGGTCCACATCCTCGAACCGTGGGGACTCGGGGATGGACGTTTCCATCCAGTCTTGGAAGTACTCTATGGCAGCGCTGCAGTCAACCGGAGCTACAGAAGTCTCATCGCT